AAACAAATTTTGTGGCGTTTCCAATTATTTATAAATAAGGGGAAAATGGCATAAATTCGGTCTAAATAATAAATTTACAAACGGCGCCCCATACCCAACCCCCAGGAAATTCCAATCCCTTCTGTGGGGGGAGTATGGATATTTTCTGAACTGCACATTCTCAAAAAAAAAAAAAAAAAAATACAAGCATTTGTTGGTATCAATATTAGCTTAGCTACTGAGTCATGATATCTGTCATGATCCATAAACTTAAGTACAGTAAAAGGTTCAAAAATCATGTCATAAATCTGTTTCATCAACCCAGCAAATAATTTTGATTTGTCTGTCATGGATCTCCATGAAGTGTTACATTTGCTTCGGTTTTGCTTTAGTATGCTCAGAGATTGGCTTAGAAAACTCAAGTCACTTTCTCATCCAATCAGGGGTAAAATCGAATAACCAATCAAGACTGGCTCACACAATTCTTCCTGTGCTTTGCAAATGCTTAGAGTTATGATTGGTTGGCTGAATAACATTTGATTGCCTATACTCCTTGCAACTGGCTAGAGTGGCAACTTTGGTTTTGGTTTTACCACACTCACTTGAAGTCTGTGGTGATCAAGCGTCATTGGAGTCTATCAAGAAGAAAGTGGGACAACAGCAAGAGGAAAAAACAGCTGCAAGATGCACAGAAAAATGAAACTCCTTCATTTTTCATTGTATTGCATTTTGAAAAATGATTGTTACCTCTTATGCCCTTTACTGTTGTATCTTACTTGCCAAACAAAGGGGAATGCCACCCTTTGCACCACCTGGTACTATGGGAATGAGTGAGTGAAAGAAGGAGAACAGAGGAAGTGCTACATAGTCACAAGAAACTAAACTGACTCCCTAATTAAGTCCTGTTGATCATGATACTACACAAATTTTAAAAACATTTTATTTACCTTGTCCAGCGAGAATATTAACTGCTGTAATTGCTTTCTTCTTCCAACCTCCTATAAACACAAAACAGGCAAAAAAAATTAATGTAGTTGTCAGCACTACTCAAGTCACAGGAAACCCAGACAAACTGTGTAATGTGCACATTTACATTTTTATACGAAATGTATGGGGTTTGTAGAACACTTCCCAAAATTGTGTAAAATCACGAAAATATGAACAAATGGTTGCTGATAAAAGTAAATGTATCATATGTATTGTGTACTGTCATCCTTTTGGCTCCAAATTGGCTCCAATTTCAGCAATGTTAGGGTGGGTGAGTACTGGGCCAGAGGGGTCTTTTAAAAATAAATTATTGAGTGTTCCTACCTTTATGATGCACTCCTGTGATTCACTCATGGTGTTTGTATAACAAATGACAAAAACAACACGAACAATGTATCTTTATTACAAACCTCTGCTTTTGGAGATCTCCTTGACAACTCTTTTAGTGCTCTTCCACGTCCAGCTTGATATTTTTCAGTCAGTTTTGAATTACTTGTTTGCTGCTGGTTCAAGAATTTTATAAATTACAAGTGCATGTATGTTAGTTACAATTCTTTCATCATTGGTCACTGGACTTCAAATATGTAAATTATATTATCTGCTGGCCTGAGCCTGAGGTCTTCAGTACAGCCTGAGGCCACAGGCCTCACACCGTGATCAAGAACAAGGGCACAGTTTTTTCCCAATATGGGCTGACCAAGGCCAGCAAATAGCATGTTTATTATTTTCTCAACAGTTAATTGCCTTGAAAGTAGCTTTCAGTGTGTTGAATTTTAATTGACGTCATTTGGTTTAAATCTTGCATACGCATGCATTTGACATGAGAAGATGAATGGAAACGAATGGGAAACGAATGGGAAAATCCAGACCACTGGAGCACATGCAATTAGCCAATCAGATTCAAGGATATTTTAGGATTCTGGAACGCTGAGAAGCTAGAGAAAAAATAAAGTTGAATATTAAACAGTAACTTCATTTGAAAGTCATGTGACCAGCGATTACTAGAGAAGCATATAGTGTACAGTGTATGTGCTAACTCTACTGAAAACTATTGATTACAGTCGAACCTTCCATAAGCGACCATGGCCACCCAAAATGTCAAGCCCAGGTGGTTGCTTACGGGAGGTGGTCGCTTAAGAGAGCTTAGACCATATAATTTGGATCAAAATTTTGCCTCATTGGCATATGGTTACCATAATAATAAGACATTTAAGGTTCATTTCTTTCATGATGGATAGCTTACAGTGTATCTGCATTTTTTCTTTAAAGTTTTAAATGCTCTTAAATGTTTTATTCGTGTGAAAAGTCAATTTCAAGAAAAAATCCAGTACTTTCCATTGAGAAATTTCCATCTCTTGTACTTCCCAACGGAGCATCGAATGGTCTTTGTGAGCATTTGCGAGCATGCGAACAGTGTGTTTGTTTTTGCGTGCACGAGCAGTGATCAAGTTTGTCTTGCAAACAGCGAGCACAGACAATGCAAATGGCAGCAGCAAGAACTTTGTAAATTTTCCGCTAGCCTGAATCTCTATTTTATTAAAAGGAAATGTTGTTTTGCACCAATTAATCTGGCTTACACCTCCAAAATAGGACAATAGAAGCAAAGCTAGGCAACACATTAACATCTTATCATGGATCAGCCAATCCAGCAGCTTACAGTCACTTATGCCTTGTTTTATGCTAAGAAAAAGCTAAAAGCTACCAGAATGCGAGCATGTAAGCAGTTGCAAAAGTTTTGTGAGCACAAGCAAGTGAGCACTCATCGAATTTTTGTGAACAATTCAAGCAAAGGCCAAATTTTGTGAGCACTTTTAAATTGAATGGCACCATTTGATACCCCTTCCCAGAATGTGATAATGTTACAGCACCTTATTATCCAATTTTCGCTCTATTACCGGTATCTCTTAAGTGGTCGCTTACGGGAGGACAAGAACAACAGTTATTAACCATGCAGCTCCTTATTAATCATTACCATTACCTTTCCTGGCCGATTCTCCATGGTGCCTTTTGCTGTCATAAAGCTGTCTATTGTGTAATAGACAATATCATCTCATAACTTCAACTGTGAATTCTTCACTGCTCAAAAGGCCACAGTCACTGTTTATAAGAACTAAGCATAATAGCACAAACCAGTTAATCATTATTGCTAAGAATTGCTTAACTCCTACATAGATTATGACAATGTAAGAGAATGAGTTTAAAATTGCAGAAGTGTGACGCTTTGTTTCACTTCATATAATTGTGAAAGTTGAGCAAGCATTTCTATTTTCTGAGATCATGCAATCATGACATATTGCAGATGATTGGCAATGGATCATTAAACCAATTGTAGAAATCTATGATTCAACATGGTGACAAATTTTTGCCCGATGATTCTTTGATCAACTGCGATCCAAAGCAACTCTCCAAACACATGGAAACAGTCAGCATAAAAGTTAGGTTTCTCTGATGACTAGTAAATCAGCAATGAATGGGACAAAAACTTGTGTGTTTGGTTACCACATTACCAACTAAAATCAAGACAGGTTGAAGAGAGCTAATCCCTCATATTAAGAACCTATTCCAAAGGTAATCCCTCTAAGTTATTTTTAGATGCAGTATCCAGTTCTACCACAGCTCGTTTTACCCTGCATATTGCCTGAGTGTTTTTGTAGAGGATGAAAACATGTATAACGCCACTTGGGATATCTACATGAGCAAAATCCATGTCACCGGATTGGCTAATATTTTTCTAGACCTTTCCAGGATAATTTTCAGGAACCAAGAGTAACCTAAAAATAATCTGGGCAATAAGTTGAGACCTAAGTGTGGGATTAACTCTATTACCCTTCGTTCTGGCTTGCTTAAATTAGTTAACTGTTTGTTCACAAGACCTCAGGACTCAATTCATTTAAACTTTACAGCAATTTGAGACTACAGGCTACAGCGAGCTCAAGCTAACTCAAATTCATTGCATTGGGCTTCAGACTACCCATTATACTATTAGCCCACGCACAGTGAAAAGAAGCACGTTTAATGGGAAGAATGTTCAACTGTTTTGAGTATGCAAAATGTCATTACACAATTTCTAGTACTATACAGTCGAGGTTAGGCGTTGGTCATCAGCCAGATGAAAACTTTATTCCAAACAGAAATATTTCAATTTCACTTTCACTTTCTTCTGTATGCACACATAATCTCGCAGGGATCACAATAATACTCTAATTTTCGTACTGGTGATCAAGGCTAAACTTCGTAGGGATCTTATTTACATTTTCCACTGAGTGTCTGAAATGTTTGGAAGCCTCCAGACAAGATGTAACTAGACTTACAGACAAACAGGAAACATCTTCTCGGTTGAGCTACTTTCACTTCTCATAAAAGGAGTGGACTTTAAACAGGACTCTTTTTCTCTATATAAGCTTGTCGTCACCCACAAAACACAAAATGATTTCGTACCTTTTGATCGTCGAGGAACCTCCTCTGACTGTTTCACAGCGAGAAAGAAAAACCCGTGGAAGCGTAACTTCTGTGCAGCTGGCGTAGTCGGTTAAAAAAATCCACCTCTTCGATTCACGAGAACGTCACGACAAAACAACACGCCATCAACAACGTATGAAAATTAGGAACTGTACAAATACTGCGATCGTAGCTGTTCTACGACGAAAGAACACCATGTTATGCTGTTAAATATTCTAGTTTATATCTGAGAAATACCAGGGAAATACCAGTTACAAAACGACGTCCCATGAGCACAGTCCGAGTACTTTCTGAATGATCACGGTATGTACTTTCACTTAGTTAGGGTAGTATAAGCTGGTGATGGGTAGGGTAACCTAGAAAACTAGGGTAGGGTAGGGGATCATAACTTATGCACTCAACAAACATATCGAAATAACGCAATTAAGTTTTTGTCTGATAATTGTTAATACATACTGATATGCTTCCCAAAAATAATGATACGTAAAAGATTTTCATTAACGACCATAAGATGTGAAACATGATTAAGAATCGAGACGACGACTATTTAGCCCACCCCTGAAAAAACGAGAAAGGTAGTCTCCCCAGGTCCCTTCGATCAATCCAACATGGCGGCCGCTCACCAGCTTTGCATCTGATCGGATGTGTTCGTTTTTGGTGGCATTATTCTCAAAATGATGGAAAGCGTTCTCAAAAATAACTTCTCACTGGGACAGACGAGTCTTCAGTTAGAGACTGAGAGCATGTTAGCCCAGTCTTTTCGACTTGGAAAATCACCTCAGGAGGGCTACAAGACGGGCAAACTGTCACATGCATTAGAAGACTTTGCTAAAGTTACAAGGAACAGCGAAACCTCACTTTCTCGATATGTTCATTATTTGATATGCGAATACTTTGAACAACTTGACGCTGATGCAAGATTCGACAGTATCCAGTATGAAGAAATCTCTTTTACTGATCATGAAACTGGACATTTGATATGGGAAAAAATTACGGAAGTGCTTGGAGAAGGTAAGCTTAACTTAAGTTAACCTACCTACATGTAGAGCTATATTTCTCTATGTCATAAGGCACATAAGGCTTAGACATTCCCCTTCCATACACTTCGATATGCTGCCAGGGTTCTCACGGTCTCCCAGGACTGACCCCCCAGTCATGGGTGACTACCACCCTGCCGTTCGCCCTTCGTCCTTCATCCTTGACCATTGGGCCAGTCCATTTTTTTTATCTGCACCCCCCCCCCCCCCCCCCCCCCTCCTGTTGAGGGTCTAATAAAATTTAAGGGGGAAGGGGGCTCTTTAAAGATTGTTTCTGAGTGGGTAAGTGGGTCATTGCTTTGGTCTTATAAATTCTGAAGGGGGAAGTGTGTTGGCACTTTGATCTTCCTTTCTTGGTGGGGTGAAAAGTTTACTTTTCTGAGGGGTAAAATTCAATGTTCCTCAATGGGGGGAACAGATATTAAATGGAATGGCCCGTTCTCCCTCATGTTCTTTTTGGTTGACCTGGTCTTCTCCTCCCTTTTGGCCTCCACGTACTCCCAATGCTGTGTTAAACAAATTACTCCTCTCTGTCCTTCCTCATTATATGTCCTATCCAGTTCCATCTTCGGCATCTGATCTCATTACTTGCTCTTTTCAGTCCTCATGACTCCTGTGTTTCCTCAGACTTGCTGGTGGGAGATTGTTTAAGGCCACCCTTATTTCTCGCCCCAGGGAGCGGGGGTAATTTGGGAATTTCTGGGTGGGGATGTAACCTGGGACCCTGGAACCCTTAGCCTATACCAGAGTTAGTTCAGCCGAATTTTGCCACCCTATACTAGAGTAAACTCCCTAAATCCCCCATCTATCGACACTGTTGAGGCTGATTTGCGTAAATTTAAACTATCCAATTTGATTTTTTTATATTTTTGAGTGGCAATTCCTTGTTTCTTTAGTCTAGATAAAATCTTCAACCAACTAGTAAGTTTTGTGAAAAATTATACACTATTCTAGGCCCAAACACTCTGATTTATATACCCTATCCTAGAGTAAACTGCTTGAAAACCATACCCTTCACAGCGGCACATACCAATATAGCCCATATATGGCAGTGCCCCCCCCCCCCTGGGTTTCCAGCTAACATGTGCTTCATCATTTGTATTCTTGTGTATATCTGTTCATTTGTGTTCCTGTACTTTTTAATATTTTTCATTTATTTTGAGGACCCCAGTGAAAACTGCCATGGCAAGATGAGTTCTCTCATTAAACAACATTACAGTAATATTACTTGTATTGGATTATTAGATCATCTCATCCATTGAAATTCATCCCACCCCAGACATCCTGTGACACTAACTCTAAGTAGTTTCTGGCCAACAACTACATGTATCATTGACTGGAACAGTCTTCCATTTGAGTACTTGTCAATAGACTCTTCAACAAAATTTAAGGCCACCGTCTCTGACCACTTTTATTTATTCTAATTTTATTGCATGAGCTTTCCCTATTTATTTTTGTATTCAAATAGTGTTTGACAAGATAGAAAAGTACAAACAAAAGACCACGATGGTACAGAGTAGCTTTTTACCAGCTAACTCTTACACCTTAGGCACAAGTTTCAAGCTTGGAGGTTGAAAATTTCAATCTCATGTCTAGCTGGCAAATGTGAGCTATTACAGTCTTAACTGACACACTTTGGAAAAATATATAAACTTGAACCAACTGAAGACTTCTACACTTCTTCCAATTCTGCAATTTTCTAAAAAGCATGGCAATGGCATGGTTGATTGCAAGAATCCAAATGTAGATGGAGATGTAAGCGTAAAATAACAATCTTCAAGGAATTATTTTCACTACGATAGTTAGTCCATTCTTGTTAATGCTTGATTGCTTCATTCCTCTTTTAGATATGATAAGTAACTATTCAAGTTGTGACTATCATGGTGCCGTGAGAAGATTGCATCCATTATGTCATGCTATTCATAAGGAGTTTATCAGTCTTTCACAACATGAATTTGAACAGAGATTCAAAGCTAGCTTACAGTGGACTGGATATGACACAAGATTTTTAGACTGCTTTTCACTTCTCAAGTCCTCAAACACCGCTGATCATAACTTGTGTCTTTTACTTCTAACGTCCTCTCTGGAACATGCCTTGGGTGATGTGTATCTCTCGTACTCTTCTGCATCACAGTGCCCATCTTTGTTGAAAGACTTGTTAGCAACACAAGAGCTGAAGGAAGTGCTTGGTGACTCTGTTATAAGCCTTCTGCACATTTTAATTGGCCCTCCTTCCAGCCTTAATCTTAGAAATGTCCTGTGGCATGGATTTGCTGCTCCTGCAGAAGTTCCTCTCCAGTAAGTATAAAGCTAATGACTCTCTGCATTGTTACCTATGGTGATCACCCCAGTTGTAGTATTGAACTAACTTAAGAAGTCATGAAGAAAGGCTGTGAGAATCTAGTGGTTAAACAGGATTCTTTCCATAACTTTGATCTCTGTGCACAAGGAGGGTGATGATTGATTTTGATCATAACCCCAAGTGGGTATAGGACCAGACACTCTCACAAGGAGGGTACACCTTGGACGTTTTGGTCAGGATGTACTGTAGGGGTTCCACTAAGATTTTCAGAAGGAAGGCAATTGGTTTTCTCATGCAGGCAAAACTTTTTGAACTGAACTTCTTCATGATGAAAACTTTCCTTCAGGTAGTCAAACCAGAGAGGCAAAATTGTCCAATTTGCTTGTTGCCTGGCCCTTAATGAAATCCCAGATGTGCTGTCTGGTCACCAAATCATGTTTTTGTTTTTTTTGTTGTTGTTTTTTTCAAAGCAAAATTTGTTACATGTATTTCCCACAGCAGTTTTCAGACCTAGCCTGTAGTTATTTAAAGTTATCAGTCACTCTTGATTATTGGAAAATTACAAGGGATAAATAAATAGATCATTTTGTTTTCTTAAAAACCGCACCCAACATCAGACCAAAATGGGGTCATTGTGTTATGTTTTCGGGCAAGACACATCTGAACAATCACACCTCTGCTCCACTCAGGAGTATGTACTATAAATGGGTACTGGTAATCCTGTAAAGAAACCTAGTAAAACCTGACAAAATGTAATCAGGGGTAATTACAACACTCTTAATTGTCTTAGAGCAGTTTTCAATTGAGTGTTGTTAAACCAGAACCAAAGGAGTCACTCTAACCAAATATCACAAACAATACATGACAATCCAGTGAACCAGTTAAGACTCAAAGTAAACATGAACTACTGTAAAGTAAGTAAAATATAGCTGATACAAAGTGCAGGTAAACATGTGCAAATGAGTCATGGTTTGTTTTTGTTTTTCTTCTGATTGGATGACATGTAGGGTGGTAAACCACTTGCTTTTGACACTCAAGTGAAAATAACTCTCAGTTGCAAAAACCAGCCAAGAGTAAGTTACGGCAGAGTGAGTCAGTTGGCCTGAGTGCAACTTAAGCTTTGCTACAGAAATCTAGTTTAGCGTTTTTCGTTCCAACATAATTTACAGTCTTGTGCTCTTATACATGCCACCTTTGTTCGAGTTCAATAGGCATGAGAGTTTATCCTAAGGGAGTCAGTATCTTCACTGACAACCCAAACATGTCCAAAGACATCTGAAGATTTCTGAATACATTTCAAACATTTCCCAGTCCTGATCCCAATATGTGTCTTGCCAAAAACAATGCCATTGCCATACTTTTCAGAAAATCGCAGAATTGGGAGAAGTGTAGACTGACGTCCTCAGTTGGTTCAAGTTTATATATCTTTCAAAAGTGTGTCAGTTAAGACTGTAATAGCTCACATTTGTCAGCTAGACATGAGATTGAAATTTTCAACCTCCGAGCTTGAAACTTGTGCCTAAGGCGTAAGAGTTAGCTGGTAAAAAGCTACTCTGTACCATCCTGGTATTTTGTTTGTACTTTTCTATCATGTCAAACACTATTTCACTTAGCAGTTACTGCCCTTTTGGATTTGTATGCAATAATATTAGAATGAAGTACACTATGCAACGATGTAGTCTCATTAGTAAATTTAGAATACTGTACACGGCATTGTTATCTCCTCAGGTATGCCTCACTGCTGTTACTTATTACTGCATCTATGAGTACCAAGTTAAGAGATCCACCATTCAATTCAAGGGAAATCAAAAGACGGCCTTTAGTGAACTTGTCAACTTGTGCAGATGATCACCTTTACAACACATTTTCTCCTTTAGAGACATCTACTACAGAAGAAATACTCAAATTATTTCATTCAAGTTTCTTCATTATTCCAAATATGCTTCCCTTGTGGGTTCTAGCACTGGAATATTTTAAACAACAAAGGTAACCCTTGTTTGCAATTTTCAACTGGTGTACTTCAAAAATCACTGAACTCTACCTTTCTCCTTACAGCACAATAGCAAATGACCAATACCATGTACAACAGTGACTGATTAATTGATACCTTGACTTATTGATTAAGTGTTGATGGAACATACATGATCTAAAAGTATGATTCAATCTGTAATTTTCTCCTGCTATAGATTTGACTTCTGCATCATACTGTTGCTTCCTCAACTGGAGCATGGCCTGAGGAGAGTGTTTGCCATCGTAAACAACTGTCCTCATAGAGTGCTAACAGCAGAATCTGTGGTACTATACACAACATTTGATGAGGTAAAAAGATTCACTCACAGAATAATAGTAAGAATAGTAAACTTGTGGATCAAACCAGCATACAGAGCTGTCACTGTTCCCATGGATAAGAGTCCGACATAGACTTTTTCAGTCTGGCATCCGCCTCTATTTTAGTTCAATTTCGCCATCCCACCATAATGAGAATGTTTCTCCCAATCCCACCCAGTTAAAGTTCAGTTCCTTGCATAGTGTCCATAACATTTGATTTTCTGTTTTCATCCCACAGCCTGCCATCAATTTTAAAACTATCCCTCATCCCTCCATCAAAATGAAAAAATCCTGCTCCCACCAAAGTATTTTTATCCTTCATCCCTCCTCCATTTTAGCTCTCATCCTGCATCCTGCCAAACCTGTGTTGGACCCTTGCGGACTGGATGCTAGTCCATCACATGTTACTCCTGCATTACTCCACCTCCCAGCATTTGGCTGGTTGTGTTAACATTTTGACAGTAGCCATTTATCTGCCCTGATGGAGCAGTATTGACAAAAGTAGGGAAACAAAATCATTATCTACCTTATGACTTGGCTGGGTACTCTGCTAGGCTATTCATCTGGCAAAATCAGCTGTCTGCTTGAACAAAAAGTAACCTTCAAAACTGTGACAACCCTGGTGGGGAGAGGCATCACAAAATGCAGTGAAACCTCATTAATTTGGCCACAAAACAGGGTTAAACTAACAGGGTGGTGACATTTAAGCTTTGTTAATGTTGTTGATAAGGAAAACAAGTGACTGATCAGTGGTGGTCAGTTCAAGGTAGTTGTGTCCAGGAGGGGGTAGGAGTTAGTGGGGCAGGGTTCTTGAAACTTTACAACAGTGTTATAGCAATCACTGCAAAAAAACATACATTCTTTTGGTGTGGGAAGTAGTTTGATAGTTGGCTATAATTAACCCGTTATTGTGTGAGCAACTACTCTTTCTTGATTTTGCTGTCTTTAATTCTTGTATTGACTAAATAGTTGGCAGAGGAATCATTTGTCTATTTTCTTTTCTGCAGATCCTTTCACCTGTTTTACAAGATGGTTCTGAAAATCTTCTCAGACAGGAAATAGGAGACGCCTATTTTGAAATGTTACTTGATATTCTCGTGCATTCTGAGGGACCACGGATTCGACACCATATCAGCCATGGTGAAGTGAATCTGCATGAAATATCACAGCAATCAGCCAATCACATTTTGTGTATTTGTGTTGCATTTGCAGGATTATATATCTACACTGATTATAAAAGTCATAATGACAATAGCATTCCTCTTGTTGAAAGGATCTGTGAAACAGCAACGACATACAAGTCAGTCTTTCATCCTATTTCTCTTTTGTCAAAGACAGTGCGGGAACTTTGTCTATCATTCTTGAAATGGCAGGATTTACCAAAACCATTTGGTGAAGAATTTGACAGTTTGGAGAGTGACGGCAGTGTTAAGTTCCTAGATTTCAAGGAAGCCCTTCGAATGCTAATGGAATCTTTTTCATTACCTGGTGATAGTTTATTCAAAGTGCTGCAATGGCAGTTTGATTTAGGTGAACTTGAAACTTTTGTTGAAGGTTGTGTGCAAACCGTGGACTCTGCCCAGTGTCCAACTCTGTTCAGGCCGAAAGGAGAAATGGAGGTAACTCTGTTGCTTAGGAGCATTGCACAACATGGCAATGTGATTTCTGAGCAGGCAAGGAGAGCATTCTTTTTTTGTTAGCCGTTATTTGATCCTAATCTCATTTTACGTAACCTCACAGTGTTGATAAATTAATGAGAAGAAGGAAACTCGTTTCCACATCGTCTTCATATAGCCCTAACCATGATGGTAATCTGTAAGGGAAAATTACTTTTCAAATTTGGGACTGTAACAGCTAACCCACGTCATGCAAGAGTATACATCTACAAGAAAGACAAATTGAGACTCGAACACTTAAAATTCACTTGCAATAATCTAACTTATTGACATGCAATTCTTTACTGTTACTTCTGAAAAACTGGTATTGCATCAAGATTTCGTTACTTACTAGATGAATTTCTTTTTTCTCCGCACCTGTTTGCTTGACAGTGTTATGATACCGTGAGGAGAAATAAGATGTTCATCACTATGATTAATCACTCTACGTTTGTAAAAATCATAGTACATAGTCCGACGTTTTGATGTCCCTAAGATCATTTTGGAGGCAGAGAGTGAAAATATCGAGGTGACATAACAATATAAATGAGTGAAAACATCATTCACAGTTTGTTTGTGCGTTTTGTATGAATAACTTCGCCCGGATGGAATCTGCTTTTCGGTCACGTTTTTTTGAGTTGTTGACCTCTTGCAAAATCATCTTTGAATTGAAGGGGAAACCTGAAAATGAAAGTTTACTAAGATAGAAAAATACCAAGAAAGAGGTAAAAATAAACCATAAAAGAACGAGGATGGTTAAGGATGGAGAAGATTGACACGGATTACAAACGACAAACTTAACAAATTAAGAATAAACTTTTCAAGGTGCGCAGACTGTGACGTAGCTTCTTTAAGTCATTCGTGTCCGACGTTTTGTTCTTTCAACCAGGTATGTGAAGCAGCTACAGTGAGATACCAGCAGTGGAAAGACAGGCAGCTAAGACAGCGACAGAGGGCCAACTATAAACGACTATGGTGCCACGTACCTTCCATATGTGCTACTCTACAGCTCATGGCGCTTGTCGTCATCACAGAATTGCTCAGACTTCCAAGGAGTGGGGAACAAGGACAGAGAAGTAACTTCATCAAGTACTGAAACTATTCTATAATTTTTTGAATAATTTTCTGAACAATTTAATATAAGAGGAACCCTAATCTGAAGGCTGTTGTTATGGGAGATTTCTGAACTTCATGTCTTGATTTCAATAAATTCCATATTTGGAATCGCAATTGTATTGGTAAATCACGTGACTAGACCAGAGAACTCTTTAAACCTCGAACACACCTTACATTCTTCTTTCATGGATTTTTTGCAGTGCGGGTTATCAAAAAAGCTGACGTTAGTGAAACGTATTTTCGATCATTTCCTTCGATAGGAAGTTGAATAAAATCCAATGTGCTAAAAAAAATTAAATATTTACCTCTGTTTCTCCGAGTTTCAGTGATTTTTTTTTTTTTTTTTTTTTTTTTTTTTTTTTTTTNAATCGTTTTCACCCAGCCATGATATTTTTGCACAAAATGACTGAGAATTCGTGGAATTCCTTGTAATAGATTTAAATTCTGATTCACAAGGTTAATCAAAAATCAATATTCAATCAATATTCTACTATTGCACCGCAACATTGTAAAGTTGACTGCCAGAGAGTTACGGTTTGACTGAAAAGTTTCAAATTCTTCGGTCGTTGTTTTCTCAGTTTTTTTTTTTTTTTTTTTTTTCATTCTTATGCGCGGTTCAAGACGGTTAAGTTCGAACCTTGATCCCAGTCTCTCTACCCTCAACGACAACGGAGACAACGGAGTGAGAGCCTGGAATCGAGATTGGGATGGCTATGTTCATGGTTTGAGGTCACGTGTTCAGGCTCATGGTTTGATGTCACGTATTCAATATCATACTACCGCCATACTGGTATTTTCCCAACGCGCATATTTCTCCATATTTAGCGGATCAATCATTATCATTATGGAATAAATTTAAGCGAATGTTGGCCGATATTCTAATGTTCACACAATTGCCATATCGGATTAACGAATCATTTCATCATTTTTTCCTTTGTTTTGCTATTTTTGCAACAGATTCCTGAAGCGATGTCTTCAATGCAGCGAGAACATGGACTCTTTATCCAGCGCGTCAAAAAACAAGTGGGATGAATGTAATACCGTAGGAAGAACATTTGTAGAGTGTGTTGGACAGTATTATGCTAAACGTAGACACGAAATGGTTTCGTGATGACCATGGAGAATTTGAAAGTTTAAAAAAAAGAAAAGTCAAATTATATAATATATTTTAAAACGAAAGAGAACTGAAATTATATGTGGATGCCTATGGATATGTTTATAAATTAACCACTTGAATCTTTAACTCTTCGTAAAGCCCTGTCTAAACGGGAAATGTTTGGCGACCAAACACGATCAAACATGTTTATTTTGCACTGAGTGGCCGAGCGGTATCAAACACGTTTCGCGAACAAAATGTTCTACAATGTTTGATCAAATATTTAATGACATATTTCAAATTTTGTTTGATCGTGTTTGATCGCCAAACATTTCACGTTTGGATGGGGCTTAAGAAGAGTGTATATATCACGAAACTTTCTAAGAACCCTTTTACATGTAACATATCAACGAAAACTGGCTTTTGGTTGATTTGGTTGTCACGTGCGTTAGTTATTCGTGACATTATGCACAGTGCGATTGAAGAGATTCAATTCGAATTGCTTCCTCATTTCAATGCCCGAGTTTTCTTCTGATCAAACATTCTGATTGTAAAGTAAGCACTGCAACACTTTTTTTTATTTTTAACATGGCATACGGTTTATTTTACAACTCTACCAATGGAGTTCGAAATTAACGGGGTTGATTTTAGGCCAAGGAAACAGAAATCAGTTTGAAATGGCGGGGAATTCGAAATAGTCATGGTAAATGATTGAAAAAACAAGGGCATATCTAAGGGAAATGGGGGGTGGAGTTATAACGCAATAACGGGGAATTCGAAGAACCAAGTTCGAGCTAGCGGGGTCCCTATGTTGGCATACCCGAATATAACATTCACGCATGTTTCGGTGCGTTTAATGTGTAAACAAATCTTTACAAAGCCCAGGTCCTTTATCACTGATTCACTTTCTGCTGTGTGAAGAATCTGAACGCTTACGAGCTTAAGCTCATAATGACTAAGTTTACATAAGGAAATATCAGAGACTTAACATGGCAAAACAAGGTACATAACTCAGCTTGAATTCCTAGAATTACACAGATACGTACACCGCGACTCTTCAAGCATATTTGCTTTAACCCGCGGGTCATTGTTTATACAAAAGCCATGTAGGAAAGCAATGCAATACAAACAAGAGAAAACAAAGAAATCCCACTCCTGTATAAGCCAGGGGCGTTGCCAGCTGGGCATGGTGGCGAAGAAGCAGCTGGTGTGGGATATTCCATGTCAAGGAATTTTTTCAGGGTAGCTGGAAAATCTGTGAAATAGCCGTCAACTGGAATGTTCAAGAATGTTTCATACTCATTGAACGGATCTTGAGTGTAATTCCAAGCCAAATATTTGTCCTCGTTCCTAAAGGTGTACGCATGAACCTTCAGGTTGTATTTGTGCGCGTTGGCGACGAAATCTGTGGTACTTTGGAGGTAATTATCACGTACTGGTATGATCTTGTCCTTCCACTGTCCCACGCCATAACAGATGGAGGATAAGTTTTTCAGTTTGGCCTCGGGGACGGGATCTTCATACAGCATCACCAAAGGAAGCTTGGTTTTTGTTGCCAGTGACCTGATGCTAGCCTCGCTGAACGACTGGACAAAGCAAGGTGAATCTTTCTCGCGATATCCATTCTTGTGCAAAACCTCAACGAGCAGATCTTCAAAGGTAGTGTTGGCATTGCGGAGAATGTCTAGAGAATTCACCCACTCAGGGCTCTTGATTTCAGGGTATATTCCTACAGGTCTACCAGCGGATTTCGCCACCTCGATGTATTCTTCAAGAGTTGGAATCGTATACAAGTCGTTGTAGTTTGGATCTCTGAAAGAGTACCTCTGTCTGACGCCAATGGTTTTGATTTCTTCCAGAGTGAGATCTACACTGAAGATATCAGTGATCACACCATGGCCTGATATGTTATACGTCTTCTGTTTTGAGCGAAAGCTTGTGTTCTCCCAGACATTGCTGGTTTCATTCAGCCAGCTCTCGTGGCGGCAGATGAGTTTAAGATCCTTGGTGACGCAGACGTCGCATTCAATGTAATCTGCGCCGTCTTTGATACCCAACCTATTTGAAACAGTTACAATGTAGCATTAAACTTTACACCTGGTATTTATAAAAGCACAGTGTAGGTGTACATAAAGTAGCCTCTCCCAGGCCTGCAATTAGTTGGCGCGCAGCGCGAAAAAAACAAAAAAAAAAAAAGCGCAGCGAGAGGAAGCTTCCTCTCGCCGCGCTTTTTTTACTGTTTCGCGCGCCGTTTTTCGCGCTGCGCTCCAACTAACTGAGCGCCTGGAAGAGTCTATACATAAAGAGAATTTTGGGGCTCTTGGTTGGCCTTTGTTGCCATGACAACGTCAAAAAAGATATCAAGCGAAATCCTTTTTTCACTTTTGAAGTTTTGGGTCTAATAACTTTGCAACCGCTTGACGAAAGCTTCTCTTTTTGACATAATTTTGCGTTATCGACAAAACAAGTTTTCCAAGTTTTGATAGCTTTCTGCCGATGGGGTTTCGAGTTGTCTTAATTTTACATATATTTTTTTTTGTCAAAGCAACTTCAAAATATGTTTTTTGAAACTTTTAAAAATGCCTGCTTTGACGATTTGGTCAAATTTACTTTTAAAGGGAAAATATTACCGTATTTAAGATCACAAAGCTGGGAACAATACCAAAATTGACTAAATTTGCTTTACATGGAAGTTTCGACAAAAAAAACTGAATCGGTAGAGGATTTTGAAAATACTGTAAGATAAAACTATTAAAATGTTTGTTGTCACTGACTAAATAAGGGTTGATTTGGACGTTTTGGTTAAAACATTGTAACCTTCCTCAGCATAAAAAATTATGCGTTAAAAGCGGCGTCAAGATGTAAATGAGGCCTTTAAAAAATGAGGTAAAGGATTTCTCTATGACGTCTCTCGCTTGTTTGAACACTTCTCTCTTGAGAGAATAATGTTCCACCCTTCGGAACAAGGAAATACTTTTTCAGAATCAACGTACTTTTCACTTAAAGTAATGAGGAGAATTCAATCACGCTCAATTAAGTCCTTGGCTTTTGGAACTGTTTCTGTGTATCCTGTACAGCAATGAGGTGATTCGTTGAGTGGAAGCAGTGTGACGGGAGTTAAGTATTTTTGTATTTATTTTTTGTTCGTTTTAGGCGAAAACACGGTAATCCTGGATGAAATAGGCTACGTTCGATACTGATATCAATATTCTAACATGGCTCCGAGGCTTTCAGGACAAACTTCTACATTTGGTTGTGTTTTCTTTGTATCCAAATCTCTATTGGGAATCCTCCGTAGGAAAAAATATGGCGACTGGTACATCTACCCATAGTTCCTAGCGCACGTAAAGCTAAACAACGTTCGTAAAAACGTAAAGAAACGTTATAAAATCTTCAAACCCAGGCCACTCGATGTCCCTAGTACAGGGACAAATATCTTAATTATAAGGCTTTCTTTGTGCCTTTTGGGCTGTGTTAGGTTCACGAGGCATTGTGGTAAAATGTACAGCCGCCATCTTTTTTCCTACGGTGGATTGAGGGACAAAAGAAGCTTTAAAAATATGCAATCTTGTCCCGGAAACCTCGGAGCCATATTAGAATAACGTTCATGTTACGGATGAAGTAGATATTATAGTAGAATAATTTGAATAGTAAGGCCATCACGGCATTCAACTAAGAAAAAAGAAATTTGAAAGTGAAAATGTCTTATCCCAATTCCCCATTTTAAGGGAGTTATACTGCGGTAATGAATTTCTATGGTTTTGTCGTAAATAAAGTCCTTCCGCAGTTATCGGTAGTGGGAGGGCATCTCTCATGCAGGTTAAAACCTTGTTTACAAAGACAAACACGCGGTAAACAAACAAGTGCACATTCCGCTGTCTTGAATGTTTTACATAAAACCGGTTTGAAGAAAACTGATACTGGAATTTTGAAAGACACAGTTTAGTGGCCAAATCTGAGTGATTTAACTTCTGTTTCGCTTCCCTGACGAAAACTAAGCCTACTTTAGAGAAATGGTTTGTTTACACTAAAACAGGTTATACTGGTAATAGTAAGTAATCTGATCCAATGTCAACCTTCATGCCGTCACACAGACAAATATCGATTCGCTTTCGAAGGAAAGAAAGCAAGCACCTGCACTTATTCAGCCATATCACAGAAAATCTGATTCCACAATACCGCTTTTTCCCGATAATTGTTTTGTACTTGAAAATCTTGAAAGCTTTCAATCGCTTGATAGCACAGGAACCCTGAGGGTTGCTAAGGCTATATTAGAATGCAAACCCCGGGGCAAACAAAGACGTATTTGTTGAATTTTGAGTCGTTGATTTCAACAAATGTATCTCGTTTCGTTTCAGTTACGGTTAGTCAAGTCAAACATATATGATATTTACGACAACGTTTACACTCTGACTGTTTCAACGCGCGCACATGTGATCAGTTCCTACCTGTATGCAGCTATTGTGTGTTCGGGCAATCGACCTGAGCTCCCTCGATGCGCAATATTCAAAGGTCTTACATCTGGTTTCTGAGCGACACAAGCAGCGAGCCAGACCAGTATTATAAACAGCACGTATTTCTCCATGACCTCACCAGAATCCCGATCGGCACCCTTGAAGTTCACAACAATACCGAAAGCCAAGCTACGCCGGCGAGTTTCGCAACAACAGATCTGTGGCCGTGGGCAGCTATTAATAAAACTCGGAGCTGACCTGCAGTGAAACCACTTAGAACAGTACCAAGCCAATGATTTACTCGATATTTGGACTACAAACACGGCTGATTGGCTCAAAAGAACCACTTGAGGAAATGTGCGATGAGAGTACTGTTGTGCTGAAAGCTGTGGCGTCTATGGGGTGTCATAGCCTCTCTCAGACGATCAGAGAAATGCCATTATGAGGGGCTGATGGGGTTGACTGACAACTTACAAGTAGCAAAAAAAAAAAACCGGACAATCAATAAAACCCAAAAATTTAACAGACAACTGACATTTGTTGTCAGATTTTCTTTCACTATCGTTGTGCGTCGCCCATTTGCGAGTGGTGTCTTTGATCTTGACTCTGAATCGGTGAAATACTCATGCCGCTCAATGTTATGTCCTCCTTACCTTTTTACCTCTGCTGCTAATATTCTCGGTAAAACATGGTCATCGAGCAGCGATGCTGGGAAACTTTTTTTTTCTTTTTTTTTTTTGTACGGTGTTCAGTCTGTAAATTAGGACTATTACTATGTTTTAAAATAATATATCTCTGTTATGTTTTAGAGGCATGACAAACCACTTGGGACGTTGGAAGAACACTCAAAAAATTCGTAAATCACTCCCCTGCGGCTCGTGATTTACGAAGTCTTCTCGTGTTCTTCCAACATTCCGCGTGGTTTATCAGCCTATAAACCATAAGAACTTGTGGTCTATTGCTTAAGAAATTCATCGAAAATACCCTTTTACGGTTGAAATAATATTACTTTAACCTTCTTAGTTTAATACGGTATTCATGCTGTTTAGTTTGTTTTTAGACCGACACCTTCACACTGAGTTTTATATTAATGGCTTTACAATTTGACACTCGCACTATCTGTTACCTAATCCTCAATTGAAGGCCACACGCTTCAGGCCACAGGCCTGGTCCAGAAGGAGAAAAAAATGTTGTATACTGACTCCCACTTAGTCCTATAACTAGGTTTGAAACTTGAACTATCCTGTTTAGTAAAATTGTATAAGAGAGTCTAAGAAACTACGATAAGCTAGAGATTATCTAAACGAATATAGGTTGTCCCTCCCAGCTAAATGTATAAGAAGAAATAAAACCCAGGTTTTGGTTATTTCACGTTGTTTTTTTTAGAGGAATGACACGGCAAGACCAAAGATGTTTTTCGCACGGACAGAGCCACTCTACTGTTCGTTAAACCACGTGAGTCAACCTCGTTCCCAGGGTCTTTTCCCTGGCTTGGGGGTGGGGCGGGAACTTTTCCCGCCCCACGTGAGTGTGTGAGTGAGTGTCACAAATGTTATTCCCATTTACTGCAAAAATGAGTTATCTTAGCTTTGATCTTAGAAGGAATTCTAGATTTGGAGAGGAACAAACTTAATTGTCGCATTTTTAAACTCATTCTTTTTCAGGTAAACATTGAAGAAGACAGACACCTTGACAAGAGTTACAGACAGTCAATGGGCGTGACAACCAACTCACCCTCCCCTTCCCCCAAACAGAAAATAATCTTAGCAGTTATCCAGCAGCATTCCCCAGAATCATGCAGAGCTCACAAAGACAAATTTCTAAAAACACACACACACAAACATGGAAATTACAAACAGCGAAAAAACCGCTCCAGTCTTCCCGCAAATTTACTGCTTGGTGAAGCTTTTTGAAATTCAAATTACGTTTACTTATTACTATTCATATTTCATCTTCACCTTCGCACGCGGTAACTACCAAGTGAAGGGAAAGTAAACGCGCGTTGATTCTTCGTTAACAATCTTCAGGAAACTAGTTCCCCCCTGGAAAGTGTCTGTTTTGAACGACGACAAGGAGGCCTTTGTCTTACCATGCACTGAAAGGACAGTGAACAACTAGTTAAAATGTACCTATTGGCAGAGATGAACAAGACTTTCAAGCACACCGTCCATAGTGTTGAGGTAACTCACCATGGCTGCCTTACATTTAGTCTTCTCTGTGCATGTTATTTAAAGAAGTTTATTTCTTTACTTTTTAATATCCGCACCGTGTGATAGAATTCAAACGGTTTGCTCCACTACGTCCAAACCGAATGCTGTTGTTTATAGTGGTCAAAGCGCTTAGCTACTTTATATTTGCATGTTTAAACATTGTTTACGTGGAATACATGGCCAGTGAAAATGTCTTAAAGTGAGATATTCATAATTTGTTTTTGTTTTTGTATTTTTGACAACCCTGATTTAATCGAATTGTTTGTGTTTAAACTGAAGTGATTATTTTCCACATGAAGGTTCCGTTTTTAAGATCGGGTTTGGACTGTTGCGCAAAACAAACTACTCACTCCTCACTATATCTGACGCAAGCTAGATTCTTAAACTTAAAACTCATTCATTGTTTTCAACAAGTAAAAAGTTATTACGTTTTTCCAGTCATCCTCTTGATGTCTCAAGCGAGATTGTACCTCCTGCATCAACAAGCACAACGGCGCAAGGTGACAAAGTCATTGTTCACATTAGTTTATAGCGGGGCAGGATAACGCTTTAGGGTAATTATCAAATAAGATTGGGAAAATCTTCTGAAGGAAAAATTTACAAATGAGAGAATTTTATTTGGCCGACACAAGCCGAGTAAAGTAACAAGGTGTTTTCACACCCCTTCCCACAGAAAAATCAATACTAAATTCAAAGAAAAAAATTCTCAGGCAAAGTTTTGACCGGGGCCACATCAGTTGATGAAGCCAACTGAGTGGAGGAGGGAGGGGAGGAGATGCATACCTTTCCCCAAAGAAAATTTGAAACTCAAGATTCTCCTAGATTTTATGGGACATTTGTAACGGAATGGCGCCTCCTCCTGGATTCGCCTATGTTCACACATTCTTGTCAGGTTTATGTCTAACGTGACCGTATATGTACCGCTAATGTATTGAATGGATCTTAACATCAGTACTTTTGATCNCCCCCCACCCCGCTGGATTCGCCAATGTTCACACATTTTTGTCAGCATTATCTCTGAGTACCATTTCTGAGCCGGTAATGAATTAGATAAATCTTAACATCAGCACTTTCCATTTCTTTGCATACACGTGAAGGGCATCGTATTGGACGAGCCAGCTTGAAAAACTGGAAACAGCGATGACGGTAGAAGATTGGATGATAACGACATTGAGGTACGTTTTAATGATTTATTGATTTATGTTTAGAACGTATAGGGAATTGTAGCTGACGGTCTGGATTTGATATCAACAGACAGATAACATACATTCGAGACGCAGATTTCATATAAAGCGAAGAAAATACTGAAGAGACTAAATGTTCCGATAAAGTAATAAACCTGAATCAAAAGGTCCTTCGTTCGCAAATAAACCTACATTGAATCAAACGTCCACAAAATTTGATGAAAATGGGAAGAAAAGTTTAATTTGCACCAGTGCGTGCTTTCAACTATATTTAATGGTCACCAAAATACAAAAAATGCAGGTGTATATCAAGAGGCAACCTTGAGTTTTAAACATGATTTCCAGTCCGTACTGCGCAGTCTCAGCACCCTAATATTTATAAACATTGTAAGTCTCACTCGATGGAATGCGAATCGAAGTTATTCGTTACGAACCACATACCCTATCTTTGAGGCCTTTCAAATTCTTTTTCCAATAGCTTCATTGATTTTTACGGCTGCGAAGTTGTTTCATCAAGTGATATGAGAAAAAACGAAGTTTCGACCGCTTCGCATCCATAATGGCGTTTTTTTTTTTACTTTGAATTTATTTCATGTAAGTAGCTGCGAACTGTTTACAATACATTTCGTGATGTCTTTCATGAAACAAAGCAAAACACGCAAATTAACTCTCAAGAGTGTGCAGTACGGACTGGAAATCATCTTTAAATTGCTTATCAATTATCCCCATTGGACCGAAAATGTACAATCGGATCTTTAAATTACTACATGATATTTCTTCAGGCCAAATGAAGAACAGTTTTGGACGGAAAGCTTGAAGAGCTGGCAACAAAGATGTCATTAACTGGATGATCATCGCTTCGTTTTGTAAGTTTGCATTTGCTGCCAGCTAGGCAGAGTTTTTAAAATTTTGAGATTGTCTTTATAAACATTACACACGATTTTAAGAGCTGACGTCATTTTTGTGAAGCCTTTACACGTTTGTTTGGAAACGTTTGACACACCTTAAAGGAAATCTTGAAGACCCGTATTGAAATATGTAAATGATTTTCTGTTTTTCTTTTTTTTTTTTGCGACATCTTCAAAAATCTGTAAGGTTGGATTGATTAGTCTGTAGATGTCGTCTTGAAATTATCTTGCCATCATTTAGGAATTAGTGGGTATCTTTTCGAAATTTTGTAGACGTTTAAAATTTGAAGGTATGAGTTTAAAACTGTTTTCATGTCTTTTGGAATTAGATCTGTAGAAACTTGTTACAAATTTTGAGTTCGACCATTTGTGCTCGTATTTTTTTTTTTCTGAAAAAAATTTTGTCTTTTTTTTTTTCAGGCACAGATAAAAAACATTTTTGGAAAAAAAGCTTGAAAAATTAGAAAATAAAGATGGCATTAACCGGATGATGAAAATTCTAGGTAAGTTTGATTACTTTGTTCAGTTCAATGTAGCGCAGTAGTAAAAGGAGGGGCTGCTGATATCTACGTTATCGGGGTTTTTCTGACGTTTGAGTTAAAATGTTTAACCAGTCAGTTGTATTAACGCGGATGCGCGAATTTTAAGGACCAATGTCACCAGGAAGTTCACTGTATGTGTTTAATGCTTTCGACTGTCTGAGAAAAGAACCGTGCAACCACTATATGATTATTTACCAGAATAACAAAGCAAGTCTAATCCTGCTTTAAAATAAAGTCATGACTGCTTCTTTTGAGAAGTTGCATTTGTTACTCGGCAAAGTTTTTGAAATTTTGAAATTTTCTTTTTAAATATTATACACGATTTTAAGAGTTGAGGTCATTTTTGTGAAGCCTTAACACGTTTGTTTGGAAACTTTTGAGACGTCTTAGAGGAAATCTTGACGACACCCATTGAAATATGTAGATGTGTTTCTGGGGGGTTTTTTGCGACACTTCCTGGCTGCAGTGATAAAGAGAAAAAAATGACTCAAAATGTCGTGGCATAACTTCTGAAACAGTTTACATTTTAAGGGAAATTTAAGAGAAAGAGCAAGAATCCTGTAATAACTTCAAGTTTTTTGTGCAATGTCTGGTAAAGACTATAAAAGCCCTAAAACACGAAGACATCGCATGTTGTTGTTTTGTATGACAGGAAAAATGTGCGAAAAGATGTAATAATGAATTCAAGGCTATTGTTTTGCTTATCAAACCGTTGTTTGGCGATATTTTTGTTAACATACGATTCTGTAGCAAAATGTGACTTTAGGGATATAAATTTCTTCAGGGAAGAAGTGCCCGTTTTGAAAGACTTCAGAAGACTGCATGAATAGTATTTAGTTATAAACAGTAAAAAACGAAACACGGGATTGGAAAAAAAATTTCAACAGTGAACATTTGACTGAATGTTTTTTTACATTTCACATCCATCGCTGGAATTTGTTATGAACTTAAAATGTTTATCTCACCACTGTTTAAATGGAAGCTCGAGCATAGGCATACTGAAAATTCTTGTCTACCCTTGATTGTAGCTCTGAACGTTCATGTCCTCGCTTTTGTGTAACTAAACTGCTTTTTGTACAATCTAATCTAGTCTACTCGTTCTAATTTTTCTTTATTTCTTTCTTTCAGAGTGCCTGGGTTCGTCCTTGAGCGCTATCAAGCCAGGATTAATCGAACGGAAGAGGGACAAGCAAAGACAAACCATTAATTTTTAGGTAGAAGTTACGTTTTATAGAACCTGATGTTGCCAAGAGAAGTTCGCTCATTCTCCATATCAGAGAATTTCTAGAAGATTAAATGCAAATTACAGAAACTTTTCTGTAAGGAACTCATTTCCACAAAAACTTTCAATGAATAAATACTCAGCTTTTTTTTCCAGTTGTAGTGTTTTGATTAATTGCTGAGATGAAACTTTTTGCTCAGCTCTCTCACGTATTAAACTAGGTTTAAAAAGTTTCAATTTTCCCGCCAAAAAACTTTAAAAATACGGGCGCTTAAATTACGCATGCGCCAATTTTTTTAAAAAAAATTTCTTCTTGTGAACATCTGTTTGAAAATTTTTGATTTTCCCGCCAAAAGACTTAGAAAAATACGGCGCCTAAAATACGCATGCGCCATTTTTTTTAAAAAAACGATCTAATTAAATTCTAAGTAATTACTCTTACACTTAACTTAATAGTCAATAAAAGCAGTGGTTTATTCAGGCGTGTCTTTCTTTTGTAATCTTTATTAGTAAATAAAATATCGGCAAACAATAATATTATCACTCACTAAAAGTGTTTCACTTCGATTGTTTTATTCATCTTTAATTTTCTACTTACAATTGCTAATTACTTTATTAAAATTCAGTTAAATTAATTACAAAGGTGTCATCAAAAAATTTGCCCTTTATATACTAAGACTTTTGGCGGGAAAATTGGAAAAAATTTGCACAGCGTTTCCCCTGACNATTTCCACCGCTGGTTAGGCGACAAAGGTACACAGAAGGATGCGACAAGGCGACAAGACTACCCCCCTTGGAAGGCCTCAGAATTAGACGCCACTGTGCTAAAAACTATCAATCTTATGCGTTTGGAAAAAATAATTCACAAGCTTTATTTACAGGCGTTGAAATGAAGAAGACTGACTGAGTTGCTAGTAATCGGATACCCGACTGACTATCTTATGCGTTTGGAAAAAATAATTCACAAGCTTTATTTACAGGCGTTGAAATGAAGGAGACTGACTGAGTTGCCAGTAATCGGATACCCGACTTTCTAGTGACGGGAACATTCCGAAGCGAAAACAACACAGCCGTACAAACACGGGGGTATGCTGGGAGACGTACGTAGCATATTGCGACACCCGGAAAGAGGATTTGCGTTTTCTGGATTGTTACGTCGAGTGTCGAGGAAAAGAACTTAGAGAGGCCTTTGGAAATAATGTCCACCACTGGTTTTCGTTGCCTCCGTTTTCGTCGCTACCTATCGGTTTATCTACTGGTGGTTTTCTCGCTCGTATCATGTGCGAGCGGTTACATGGACTGCTCATCTAAGATCGACTGTGGTTATGATCACAGTTGTTGTGGTGGCCAATGCTTGTATGGCACAAACTGCGTGGGATATTCCTGCTCTGACGACAGCGATTGTCGATCTTGGGAAATATGTTGCGATGGAATTTGTTCGAACGATTGTTCCACCACCGATTATGGTGCCATTGTCGGAATACTCATAGGCTCTTTCATTTTCTTGTGTTTGCTCTCACTTTGCTGTTACTACGTTTGTTATCGTCCAAGACAACGTTATCGCGGAAGGGTGATAGTGGAGAGAAGAGTCACGGCAACTACTATCGCCACAAGATGTGCAACACAAAGTAACACACCCTATCAGTACCAGGGACAGGTTCCACCACCCTACCAACAAAGCTACCCATACAACCCCCCACCACAATATGTACAGTATCCCCCATACAATGCTGGATCAGCAAAGTCAAGTGGACCACCTCCCCCTTACAGTACTGCATCAGAGGGAAGACCAGGGGGAGTGTATACACCTCAAAGTAACTATGGTGCTGTACCAACTCCATCTGCACCACATTTTGAACAATAGTAGTCCTTCCAAATGTGAAATGTTTAACATTTATGTTTGATAAAATTTGAACAATGACAAACATGTGATCAAACATTGTAAAACAGTTTGTTCATTTGGACGGTGGTCAATTCAAACTTGCTTAATATTTGGCCACTCAGTACATTATCAAGACTTTTGGTCACTAAACAAAGTTTGATCATGTTAATGGTTGACAAACAAATTTCCCGTTTGGACAAGGCTTTTAGTGTTTGATTTATGTGCCATTGGCACGAGTGGACTGACCTGCCATAAACTGATCTACCCTGAAGGATCAGTAGTGTATATTTACTCACAGGTAGTCAAGGGTTTTAAATGTAAAACAGGTATTTGAAATTTTTAATGTGTGGTACTGGATTTGGTGTGAGTCCTATTTGATTAGTTCATGCCAGTGGGATACTTTGAAGTTTTAGTTTACTTGAGTGGGTTTCCAGGGAGTTGGCTGACTGCCCTATTTTCTCTATCGTTTCTCTATTTCTGACCTGTTTTTCTCTAAATATGCCACTATTTTATGCAAAATTGTTTAAAATAAATATTCAGAATGAATCTTCTGCTGTCCCCCAGAAAAAATCTTTATTGATTTTGAAATACATTTAAGAGTTGTCTATTTTGAATAGTGTCTACATTTTAAGGGTTCTTAGGCAGTTGAACATTTGTAAGCCTTTAACTTATTAGAAAAAAAAGGTTTGAACAAATTGTGTCATTCTTTACCTGATCCATGATCAAGGAAGCTCCAAGCACTCATGATCCATAATTGTAATCAGCGTAAGTATTTTCATGAACCAATTGTAACTTTTAACGGCAAAATTGTTTTGTAAATTAGGTATAAAGATTTTCTCAGGGAACCTAATAAATCTTATTGTATTGTGTTGCATTGCATTACATTGCATTGTATTAATGTTCGCATATTTGACACCCACAGGAATAACTCAAAAGTCTCAACCTAACCTGACTATCAAGGGTAATACAGTCAAACCTCTCGTAAGCGCTTACGAAAGCTTTAGGACCATGTTAGGTCGAAATTGTGCCTCATTAGCTTATGGTGATGGCAGAGACTTTAATAGCTCCTGTTTCAAAATATTTTATTCATGTGAAAAGTCAATATCGAGAAAAAAAATCTGTTACTTTCTATTGAGAAATTTCCTTCATTTGTACAACCCAGGAATGCCAGACCCATACCTAGGTGCTATTTGCGTGTTTTGGGGGGAGAGAAGATTGGATACTAGAGTGATCACCCTGCCACACCTTAATCCACCCTATTATCCAATCTTCTCTTCCCAAAAAACACGTAATAGCTACTGGGTATGAGTCTGCAGGAATGCGATAATGTTCCAACACCTTATTACCCAATTTACACTCTATTGTCTGTCAAGTGGCTGCTTACAGGAGGGTAAAAACAAAAGAAAATTTCAAACTTTTAGTTCTAAAAGTGGTTGCAGTCATGTATGAGAGGTGGTCACTTACAAGAGGTTTCAAGTATAGTGATTTATATTTGACATGGAAACTTGTGGTATTTTGGAAAACTGGTCGCTTAGGAGAGGTGGTTGCAACGGGAGGTTGGACTGTATTTGTTTCTCTTGGCCTTTCTTTCATGTGCTGATACCAAAATTAAGATAGAGAAACACAGTCATGTCAAAATGTTTTTGCAGATGAATTCAGGTGTATCTACAAGTGGGATGTAACTGTCAGGCTGTGAAAGTTGTAACACTTCTTTACATTCCAGACTTCAAAAAATATTCCCCATGAGTTGTAAATAATTAAATCAATAAAACTAGTCGTGATTTGGATACAGTTCACATACGTTTGTCGTTCCAGCTGCGCGATGCTTCAAAATTATTGACGTTGTTAATTAAGATTCCAATGACTCCCGTTCCGGATTCCATAGCGATGTTCCATGATTTCTAATTTGCATAAAATAATAGTCACGCGACAATGACGTCAATCTTACTAACAACATTGCGCAAAACGTCGCGCAAAACAAACTTGACGCGTACAACGCAGGAGTAACAACCAGAGGAAACGAACGACTTCGCGGAGTAATATGGCTAAATCTTCTGCATCTGAAGGCTTTGCCTTTTGTGTAAAGGGCGTGCTAATGTTATTGCTTTTCGCTTCGTCGCTTTTCAAGGTGTCTGAAGGATGGTGCAATGACTGCGAAGACGATCAAGTATGTTGTAATTTTGTTTGCATTTACGAATCCAGTTGTTTGGGTCTCTCCTGTACGACTGGCATGGATTGTTCTTTCGGTGAAAGTTGCTGCAACAATGTCTGTGTGAATGGTTCAAACTGTCTCGGTCAAACCTGTTCGTATAGTGCAGAATGTGGCGTGGGTGAAACCTGCTGCAATGGGAAATGCACTCCTGGCTATGATTGTATTGGACAGCCATGTTGGACAGATGCTGACTGCGGAAGTACTAGTAATGAATATTATTGTTGCGGAGGAACATGTGGTTATAACGATTGCAACGCCGACAACACTCTTTGGGTCGTTCTTGGTTTAATTTGTGGATCAGTCCTTATTGTTATTGTTATCTCTATTTTTGTCCGTTGCATTTGCCACCGTGGTCTGAGGCCAGCTTACGGAAGTGTTATTGTAGGACAGAGAGTAGTACCAGCAACTAGCGCACCCTACCTTGGTCAGTCTCCACCGTCCTACCAACAAGGCTACCCATGCTATCCCCCACCGCAGTATGAACAATATCCAGCTTACAACGAGGGAACAACAAAGTCAAGTGAACCACCTCCCCCTTACAGGACTGCACCCGAGGGAATATCAGGAGGAGTGTCTGCTACTCGAAACTACTATGGTGCTGTATAAAATTCATCTCTGTCAGTATAGAAACTAGTTTAACATTTTTCTCTTTTTTGTGTTACAAAGCACCCTTTGCCCAGGAGAGTTTGGAGTTACATACATGTAACTTCATGTTTGTTTTATGTTTAGTTCTTATGATGGGGCCGCCTCGACAGTGAAATCACATGATGAAGCTTTTGTAAACTTCTTTCAAACCATGTCAACTGAGTAAAAGATGTGTGCCCAAATAGTCTCATGTTCAGGGTTTTTTAACCTTTGTGTATATATATATATATATATATATATATATATATATATATATATATATATATATATATATATATATGACCAATTTATGATGCCAGAAATGCAAATTAAAATGGGAAGTCACCGTACTTGTTTTAGAGGTAAAGTATTTTGAAGACCATTCTATTGCTGGGCCAGAAGCTTTGATCATGTAATGTGGTATCCACTCCATTGCTTTGTACAAAGAAAGAAGTAGATTTTTGATTTGGTTTGATTTTGGTTTTTACAACACTCATTTGAAAACCACAGTACATCATTTCCATCTGTTGACCATGCAAGTTCTCTAATGATGAGTGTTTTTTGACAACCAGATCTCAAATACAAATAGACCTATAACTAGATGAATAAATTTAATGTTAGTTCTTAACATAAAGAATGCATCAAAAGTACTTACAAAATGTAAGAAAGTGTTAATTTGTAATATATCTGAGTTATATTAGTTATTGATAAATTATGAGTTAATATTGCTATAATTTGAATAAGTTGACGCAAGGGAAAGGGTTATAGGAGGGGCCTGAAATGATAAAATGGGAAAGGGGACCTCCACCCCCGCCCCCCATTAAGGACCCTGTTACAAGGGGAACCCTACATTTTATTTGAATAGTTTTATAATTAATTTTGTAAAGCACATGTGATCATATCCAAATGTTAATATGCGCTACAAAAGTGCTATTATTAATATTATCATTATTATTATCATTATCATTACCATCATTATTATCATTATTATTATTATTATAGCTCGTAACTTATAATTTTTTAAATATTTTATTGTTTTGTAACTATTCAATGATTTGTAAATAAAATTGTTATTTTTATGATTATTATTATTGTTGTTGTCATCATCATTATTTAAGCTGTACCTTAAGGGCCCATTAACCGATCTTTTGGAGCCATTGCTAAGGAAAATTTACTCTCATATAACCTCATCATTTTTAGTTAGTTCAGAGTTATTTCATGTGTTTTAACTTTTTCATGATCAGTAACACTAGNTGTCTACACCTACACCAGATTATAATTTACGTGTATTAAATACATACATGTCGAGAAATTAGGTATTATAATATAATTTTAATGCTTCTGTGTCAATAGACCGTTTTCGTATTCTCGATGCTGGACTGGAACTAGCTTGGAATAGGGGCTTGTGCGGGTGAATATCGTTAAAAAGAGATTAATGTCACTTGCATTTGAAAGGACTCCACGCATTAGCCTCAGTTGCAAGCTAGTTCCAGTCCAATACCGAGAATACGAACGTGGCCTATTCCAATGAGCTTGATTGCAGACGGGTTTCTGCATCGGTAACAAAGAAAGAAATTGATTTTAATATATACATCCAAGTTTATAGATATGAGTTTAAAATTGTTGTATATTGTGAGTTCTATTAGGGGTTTTTTCAATATAAATCATGAGATATATATAACAGTGGCGGATCCATACCTTGAGCTAAGGAAGGGGAGGGGGGAGAGGGGGCGCTGCGCGGTGGTTTTTGTTTTGCTTGCACTGCCGGCTTTTCTTCCTTCTGTGATTTCTTCTCTTTTTACCCAAAATAAGAGGGGGGGGCGGTCGGGCCCCCGGGCCCCTCCCCTAGATCCGCCACTGTATAGAAGTTTGTTGCGGATGTTTTATGAAATTTATACACGGTTATGTTAGCGTATCGCGTTTTCATCGTTATTGGAACAGTTTAAAGAACAATAAAAGGAATAAAGTCAAAACGATACCGTTCTTGTTGTGTCATGAAGGTCCATTTCCTAATACACGATAGAACATTTTAATTTGGCGTGTTTTCGATGGAAATGGTACACGTACTAAAACATGGTTCAGCATGGATAAATTTTGTTATGTAAACGACTTTAAACGTATCTACACCAAATTTTAAATTTACTCACACTCGGACTATCCGTGCCGCACTTTATTCTGGTACGTGTACCTTATTTAGCCGATCCGTGAGAACTTTTTTTGTCTTGTAAATGCCTTTTGTCTGATAAACTGAGACCTTCTGAGAATTGCTGATTGATAGCAAACTTGCTTTTGATTGGCTCAGGACGCTTCCGAAAAAAACAATTGAAAACCTGATTTTGAATCCAAAGTCAAATGGCACGTCTTCTGTCGGCTCGGCAGTCCGCTCATCTTGAAATGAATGAAAGTTGGCCTGTATATGAAGCGGCAAGAGAACTTTTCTGGAGAAAACAGCAAAGAATCCTTCGTCCAATAGTTGTTCCTAGTGGTCTGAAAATTTACACTACGGCTTGAGACTTGGTTTGAAGGTCGAAGAACTTTGCAAAGGAAATTCTTTCGCTTCGTTTCAGAATCAACTGGAATCAGCTACTACAGCTTTGTTTACGGCTGACAGCTAAGGCACCAAGCAGAACGAGAAGGAAATCTCTGTCTGGCAGGGTAAGAACGTAGACCTTTCATTGAGAACAGTTTGCCTTAAACTGAAACTAAGAAGACAGTTTATTTGGAACTGAGATTAATTCATGAGCTCGGCTGTGTGCGTTGTTCATAAGTTTACCACCCCGAATTTCCAATTTCCAATTTCCAAAATATCAGCCTAAACTTAAGCTAAGCTTAACTTCCAGAAAAGATAGTTTGTTTCAGTTTTAAGCTTATTATTATGCTCTATTGCAAATATTTCTTTTTTCATATGAATTGGTCTTGATACATAATTCCACAAGTGAAGAATTTTAGCCATGGCTTTCCATGGTGTGCACGAACGACCGCGAGCAAGATGTTAGAGCTGTTTGTGACGACACTAACGAACATGTTTCCATGGATTTTGTTGAGAAAACTGAATCGCCTTGCTTCAGTCTACGTTGCAGCACTCAGTAGCGAGGTCGAAGCAGGAAAATTGTAATATTTCTCATCGCTAAATTTAAGGCATGGTTTCTAACAGGAAACATAGTCCAAGGATAAGTTTGTAGTTTTCTTTGGAGTCAAAAAACGCAGATGAAACGTAATGGAGTCGTCGCCTGGCCGCAGGATTGGAGTTGATCATAATCACCTTTCTTCAGAGCAACAGAAATCTACATACCAACCAGAGTTTCAACGGCAGTAGCAAAAGTTGTTCGTCGAAGGACGAAGCCGAAGAAAATCGGCCAAACGAGTTTTTGCCAAAAAACTAAGATTTTGAATCCAGTAATTATTTGTTTGTGTTCAAGATGGTATTTTTCATAATGATATCTTGTTAAATAGTGAGCCGTAAAACGACAAGCGGCTAGAAGATAGCAAAGGCAAGCCGAGAACCTAATTACTCATACGAAATTAAAATAACAGCGAAAACATCAATCTAGTCCACGTGTTTGGAAAATTTTAGAACTCCCGTCACTTTTAACCCAGATTAAAAAGCAAAACCCGACAAATTATAGGCTAATTTAAAAGGAAACTGTTTATGGCTTGCTTCGTTATCGTCTAGAAATTACTTCCAGCGAGGTGTTAAAGATTAATGTCTGGTTTACCAAGCTTCAAAATGTATCATTATATATCCTATGGCCTCTGTTAAATACTTGTAGTGAAACTTTGTCATTTATGAATCAGAAATTGAAGCTACAGCTTTGAAAAACAATCGAGCTTATGGCAAATGTTTGGAAACTGTTCAACGATAGCGATAGAATTTTAGAGGAATCAGACGATTGAAGCTAAATTTTCAATATCATAGATGTATTACTAAATAGTGAATACTTTTAGTAAAACTTCCTCCCAGTTGCGGACGAAAACAATAACATTTTAGGATAAACAAACAGTTTCAGCTATATTTTTGAAAAGTAGCAGATCTAATCGTGACTATTTTCATTAAAAATGTTTGGCAGTCCAAATGATAGCTTTAGAATAGTCATACAATTAAAGCTACATTTCTAAAAAGCAATAGATCTGATAGAACAAGTGACAGCCAAAAAAAATTGGAAAATCAGACAATTGGACTTACAGTTTTGAGAAGCAGTTATGGTAAGAGTTGCTTGATACCAGATAGAATTTATTACAGCCTCGCTGGAAGTTGAGAAATATTTGGTTTCCGATTGATTTTTGAACGTTCTGTGCCCCTTTCCCGGCGAAGAAACAATACAAACCGACCGTCTTCCGTACTGAAATGTATAAAACAATTATGTCTGCCGGATATTTTCAGAATACGAAGATCAATCCAGAAACCAAATATCCTCTTCTAGAATTATTCATCAAGGTGGCTCTGCATGCGCTTTTTACTATAATGCATAAAACCAAATAAACACGAGCGAAACAAGGAAGAAAGCGATAGATGTGATGTGATCATGTCAACAAATATTCGCGAATGTTCAGGAATTTAACATGCATGAAGGCATCAAGTTGCCAATACATTCAGATCTACCAACGAATTATTAACGATTGCTACTCTTTTTGGAATGATTTTGAAGTGTTTGAAAATTGACTTAGAAAAAACGATAGCAATTGTTTGATAGTTGAACTGAGCACTTTTAATCAACTTCAAGCGGCAGCATTGTCAGACGAACTGGTTCATTAATAAATTTCGAGCAGGAAAGTTGCTATTTTGCTCAATTATATCTCAAATAAATTGCAATATATTATTCTTGAAGGAAAATTTTCAAAATGTAAATTCTCGTATATTTCATTATAAATCGAAGAATCGATCGCGAGACTTTTTAATTTCATATCTGAAAATGCTAAGATTTGAGAACTAGGAATAAATTTCAATAACGCAAAGCATTAGATAGCTAAACTGAGTACGATCAGTTTCCAAGCTGAAACAAGTTTCCACGACCAGTCATTTAACATTGTTTTTGAGGAAGGGCATTGCCCTCTAACACACAATCCACATAATAAACTAAAACAAGGTCTTTGTAAAACGTCAGTGCTTAATGCAATTTTATAGAACACGGCAAACCAAAATGTTTAACGTTGAATTCTTGGCCCGGTCTTTAATTTATTCTCACAGAATTTGTTATGATTGACATGATCACAATAACCCAAAGTTACAAAATGCCAGTTGCTATCACGATTTCAACATGCAGCGCC